AGAGCAGAGGCACGGCCCAGCGCCTGCGGTGCGGGACAGGAAAAGGTGATGGATACTGCGGGGTGAGGGGGTGCTTGGAGGGTGGCAGGATGGGGAGGGGGCAGCACGATGCTCGTTGGGAGGCAGTGGGATGCTGAGGGGGCCACAGGATGGTAAGGAGGTAGTGTGATGCTTGAGGGGGTGTTGGGATGCCTGGAGGGTGTTGGGGTGCTGGGGGGCAGTGGGATGCTCAGGAAGCAGCTCTATGGGGCAGGATGATGAGGGGAATTGTGTACCCATGGGGCACAGAGGGGACAGGGGGGTTGGAAGCAGCATGCCCGTGTGGGATGGGGCCTGTGGAAAACAGCGTGTCCATGGATTTGTGGGATCAGGAGCAAGCAGGTGCATGCGCCTTGTGTAAGGCAGGGGCTTGGCCCTATTAAAAAAATTGATGCTGTAGGGAAAGCCCAAAAGCAGACTCTGGGGTGCCCCCAGGGAGATGAGGAGCTCCTGGGACACAGAGAGGGGGCTGCAGGGCTGGGTGGCCTGGCCTGGCCTGGCCTGGTGGTACCCCTTGAGGAAATGCTGGGTGCAGCCGTGCTCTCCAGCTGGGCATCTCAGCTGGCTGGCGCCACGGGCACACCCCACCCGTGGGAGCCCCAGGAGAACACCCAGTGCACCACTCTCTCCTAACGAGCTATTAATAATTAAGCTGCTCACTCAAGGCAAAGTCAATAGAATATTTGGCTGGGGAGTGTTTGCCAGAACCACCCCTGGGAGGCAGGCAGAGTGGAGCGAGACATCCCCCTGGCATCCCAGAGCTCTGGAATTTGGTGCTGTGTGGTCCTGGGGGCCTGGTGGGGTCCTATAGGGATCTATGAGGGTCCATTGAGACCCATCTGGACTCACAGGGATTCATTGGGACTTATCAGAGGGGTTTATGGTGCCATTTCACTCTCTCCTGTGGAGCTGGTGCCAGCAAAGCTGGTGCCAACTTTGCTCCCTCTTGGCAGCACCCACAAAAGTGGGTGTCACTCCAGCCCTCTCAAAGGGCCAGTGGCTTTTCCAGGTGGTGCCAGGCAGTGACTGTGATGGAATCACAGGCACCGACCGTGTAAAGCCGAGCTCCAGCTGCTCCTGGAGCCGTCTGGCATTCCCACCCACACGGTGCTTTTGGGATACTGTCAGAGCCACCTGCTCCCCCCGTGGTGTCACCGTACACCCCCACTCGCTCATGAAAACCATTCGGCAAGAGGCTGGATGCACCAGCCCGGCCTGATCCAGCGCTCCCGGCTCCAGGGGAAGTGGGGGGCGCTTGGATGAGCTTTTGGGGTGCCGCAGGTGNCCAGTGGGCACAGACTGGTCTGGCCGCCCGGAGCCTCCCCAGCCTGTAAAGGCTGTGTCCAGCCAAGTGTGACCCCTCAGTGTTGTCACCCTCAGCCTCCTCACCCAATCTTGAGGATCCACAGCTTCCTCAGGATTCACGGCTCCGGCCATCATGGCTCTCAGTGAGTGCTGCTTTTACCCTCAAATCTGGGGGGGACAGAGACAGGGGTGCAGGGATGGGTGTGAGGTGGTGGAGCCCTCCTGGTCACTCTGTGGGGCATGGTGGATGTGGGGATTGGGGGATTGCGGCTTCCCAGCTCGATCACATCGTCCCCAGGCTGTCAGCATTCCATGGCTGAGCTGCCACATACCAGCCGCTGCAGCTCTCTTCTGGTGGCAAACCCTTTACAACCCTTTCCCCAGAAAATGGGAAACCTGGAAATACTCTGTGACCCATTCCAAAAAAAAAGAGGAGAGGGGAAACCTTTGCAATCCATCCCCTCAAAAGCATTGGGGAAATCTGGAATCCCTTCATAACCCACCCATAAAAAGGGGGAAACCTGGTATCCCTCTGTGACCCATCCCAAAAAAGAGGGAGAAGCCTGGAACTGGGAGAGGTGCCCTGCAGAGGAAGGGAGGGACAATTCCACAGCAAATCCTGTGACTGTGATAATGGCCTTCATCCCTCCTGTTGCAATGATGATGATGCTGATGATGGTCATGAAAATTGAGGTGTTTTGGCTTTTCTTGATCCAGGAGGGTTCCCTGTGCAGATTACCCTTGTGTGGGAACTGATGAGGCCAGGCAGGATGGGGCAAGAGCTGCCAGCTCACTGCAAGGTGATGTCCTCAAATCCTTTAGGGACAAGCTCTGAACCCCAAACACCTCCAACAAGGATGGTGAGCCCCAGGCATGGCCAAGGGGGTCAGCCCTTGCTTGGGGCCCCAACGCTGACACCACCCCCGTTAGTGACAGAGACTAAGGGCAGCAGGAAGAGCCAAGGCTGCATCCAGGAACACAAGAGCCCCTTTTCCACCCTGCCACACGCAGGGTGATGGACCAGTGACAGGGCTGAGCCCTCCTGGTGCAGCCAGGGCACCCTCTGGGCACCCAGTCGGCCACTGTGACAAGAGGAGCGTGGAAAGGCCGGTGGCACCGTGGTTGTCCACACTTGTCACACCAAGGTTGGAGATGCTGGAATATTGCTGTCATTAAGGCCATAAATCCATGGAAACATAGTGGGAGGGAGAAAAGAGGGCGGGGAAGCTGCGGGAGAATGAAGGGGAGCCGATGGTGCGTGGCCAGGGTGCCCCGGGGAGCAGGCGGCTGGGCCNTGGGGATATTGTGTGATCCTTCTCCCTGTGTGTGGGATGGGCCTCTATGGAGGGGGGTCCTTTATCCCTGTGTCCCATCCCGTGTGCTGGCAGCACCCCACAGACGTGGATTACCGGGTCATGGCCACCTTCACCGAGTTCTACACCACCCTCCTGGGCTTCGTCAACTTCCGCCTCTACCAGTCCCTGAACCTGCTGTACCCTCCCAAGGTGAGCCCACCCAGGGTCACTGTGTCCCACCCTGCCGTGGTGGCAACCCAGATTGCTGGAAATGAGAGATTTTTGGGATATCTGTGTTTGGGAGCTGCCTCCTCACCCCTTTTCCTCCCCAGATCGACACCCAGGCTGAGGATGAGCTGAAGCCTGCAGAGGGCAAGGAGTACGCCATGGATTCAGAGAGCTACCTGGAGGTGAGGGACACTGCTGGCACTGTGAGCTGTGGGGACACTGTGGCCTTCATGTCCTGCCCACAGCCCTCCTGGCGTGGCACTGAGGGACAGAGCCAGATCCCTGCAGGGTGGAGGGGGCTGATCCCAAACTCCCTGCAGGGTGGAGGGGGCTGATCCCAAACTCCCTGTTCCTGTAGGACAGAGCTGGGCTGCGCCTCAGGCACCACCAGCCTCCCCCTGCATGGCCAGGGACCTCCCAGAACCCTGTGCTGGGGATGGGGCCTGGAGGAGCTGAATTCTGTCCAGGGCCTGGCTCTGAGAAATCCCCTTCCCCCGTGGGGATGCCCCTGTTCCCACCCCTGGATGTGACTCCGTGTCCTCTCCCTGCAGAGGCTCTCGGCTCTGAGCTCCAGCCTGGCCCGGGCAGTGGCTCCAGCCCACGAGGACGAGGTGGAGATGGATGAATTCCCAGTGGAGGGGGTAAGACCCTGGTGGGGGGCTCATGCCTGGCCTTGGGGGATCCTGTCCCGTGCCCAGGCTGGGGGACAGTTCCTGAGACCCCTCTTGGCCAAGGGGGCCTCCAAAAGGGCTGTGTGTGGGGAGGAGGCTGAGGGCTTTGCTCTGAGCAGGAGACAGCAGAGCTGATGGACGCCAAGAAGAAGGAGCAGGAGGCTCTGGAGAAGCACAAGAAGCTCTTTGAAGGGCTGCGCTTCTTCCTCAACAGGGAGGTGCCCCGGGAGCCGCTGGCCTTCGTCATCCGGTGCGTGGGGGCAGCCCTGGCCTCCCCCTCTGGCAGGACTTTGGGACCAGCCACCCAATGTCCTGTGGGTGGGGTGACCCTGAGGGTCCCACCTGCCCGTCTGACCCCTCGGTGGCGTTGCCCACAGGTGCTTTGGTGGCCAGGTGTCCTGGGACAAGTCCCTGTGCATCGGTGCCACCTANGGTGTCAGGGCAGGGATGTTGTGATGGTGTTCACAGGGGTATTAGGATGAAGGAAGAAATGAGGATCTGACTCCATGTTTCAGAAGGCTTGATTGATTATTTTATGATATACATTATAATAAAACTATACTAAAAGAATAGAAGGAACGATTTCATCAGAAGGCTAGCTAAGAGTAGAAAAGAAATTACTGACTGACTGAGACAGTCTGAACAGCTGGACTGTGATTGGCCATTAATTAGAAACAACCACGTGAGACCAATCCCAGGTGCACCTGTTGCATCCCACAGCAGCAGATAACCATTTGTTTACATTTTGTTCCTGAGGCCTCTCAGCTTCTCAGGAGGAAGAAACCTAAGGAAAGGATTTTTCATAAAAGATGTCTGTGTCAGGATCCCACTGGGGGGTCAGGGCAGGGATCCACTGGGGTGTTGTGTTAGGGATCCCACTGGGATACCAGGTAACAGATCCCACCAGGGGGTCAGGGCAGGGACTCCACTGGGATCTGAGGAACCTCCTGCCAGGGGCAGGGTGACAGTGACAGTGACAGTGACACCGCAGCATTCCTCCTGCTGAGCCCGTGCTCTGTCCTGCCAGGTGTTCCTCTCCATCAAGGGCATCTACTACCAGGCAGAGGTGCTGGGGCAGCCCATCACCTGGATCACCCCCTACGCCTTCGCCCACGACGTGAGTAGCTGGGGAGAGCCTGGGGATCACCAAGGGGTGAGGGACTGTCCTGTGGCACATGGGACACACACATCACGGGGCCTGGCTGCAGAGGCACGTGGGGACACAGCAGCTGTCACCCCAGGATCCCCGGGGCTGCCAGTGCCAGTCTCCCCAGTCATTCATATGTCCTCAATCATTAATGTGCTCCTTTATCAGCCATTAAAGATTAACCTGTGGGAGCAGGGGGAAGGGATGAGTCAGACCTGCAGCCTCCCCAAAGGGATTCTGCAGTGTCTCCAGGGCATGGGGATGTCCCTGCTGTGCTGGGACAGCTTCCCCTGAGCCTTGGCAGGAGCTCACAGCACAGCAGGGCCCTCTCCATTCCCTCCCGCCATTTCCAGGGCTGAGCACAGTTGGGGTCAGGTTTTGTGGTTTTATGGTTCTGAATCATAGAACCCTGGAATGTTATCAGTTGGAAAGGACCTAAAAGTCCATCCCATTCCACCTCTGCGATGGCAGGGACACCTTCCACTCTCCCACAATGCTCCAAGCCCTGCCTGGCCTTGGGCACTGCCAGGGATCCAGGGGCAGCCCCAGCTGCTCTGGGCACCCTGTGCCAGGGCCTGCCCACCCTGCCAGGGAACAATTCCTCATTCCCAATATCCCATCCATCCCTGCCCTCTGGCAGTGGGAGCCATTCCCCTTGTCCTGCTCTTGTCCAGCTCTGTCATACCCTGCACTCTTCACCTTGAGGAGTTGGAGTCTCTGGACCAAACCCCAAGGTCCCCATCCATGTTGGGATGAAGTGTTCCATGTATCCAGGCATGGAGGGATGGCAGCAGGACCCTGGGGGGAGCCTGCAGAGCTCTCCCTGCCCAGGGTCTGGTGGTGGCTGTGACATCTCTGCACTTGGGGCAGGTTTAGGTTGGTTTTCAAGGAAAGGCTTTTCCTCCAGAGGAGCCTGCCCAGGCTGCCCAGGGAATGGGCACGGCCCCGAGGCTGCCAGAGCTCCAGGAGCCTTTGGGCAGCACTGCCAGGGATGGACAGGGTGGGGCTGTNGGGCACAGGGACTCTGTGAGCGTGTGTGTGTGTGTGTTTGTGTGTGTGTGTGTGTATGTGTGTGTTTGTGTGTGTGTGTGTGTGTCTGTGTCTCTGTGTGTGAGCATGGCTGATGTGTGTGCACATTTTGTGTGCGTATGAATGTACACATTGAGGGCTGTGTGTCCTGGCGCACACGAGGGGACGGGGGTGTCTGTGTGTGCCCTCTGTGTGTTTTGTGTGTTTGGGGATGCCATGCTGCCTGCACCTCTCTGTCCCCAGTTCCGTGTCCCTGGCCCCCACCTGGGGCTGCTGAGTCCCCCAGTGCTGCTGGCAGGGCCATTGGGAGGGTACTGCAGCACCCAAACCATCCCGAGCTGCTGCAGCTCCTGCTCTGGCCTCCAGATTTTCCTGGGAAAATGGATCCCAGCACCCTCAGGGAGCACCTGCTGGTGCTGGTGGTGTCCTAGTGGAGAATGGCCTCTCTGTCCCCCAGCTGCCCGCTCTGCCCCTGGGCTCTCCATGGCTCCCCTTTCCCCCAATCCCAGCCCTGCAGCCTCTCCCACCCTCGGAGTCACTCGGTTTTCCCAGGGCGGGCAAAGGTTGGCAGGGCGGGCAGAGCCGCTGGGTCTGTGCCATAGATGTGTTGTGGATCACGCCAGGCACGAGTGGGATGCCTTCCTGGGAATTGCCATGCCTGTGACACGTCCACGTGCCTCGCTGGAGCCACACACCCCCAGTCCCCGTGTCCCTGGCACCAATGTCTCTTCTCTCTGGCTGCAGGTGACCAGGATGCTGTGGCATGGGAAGCCCTGGAGGTCCATGTGCAAGGGGCTGGTCCTGGGGACCCTCCTGACCAGCTTCATGTTGCTGCTCTACTCCTACGCCGTCCCCCCGCTGCAAGTCAGCGTCACTGAGTGAGTCTGGGGTCCCCGCGTGCCCCCTGCAGCTCAGCCTCCCTGTTCCACACCAGGAACCCCCAGCTGGACATGGGGGACATGGAGATGGCCCTGGGGCTTTCCAGGCCCTGGTGGCTTCACACCAAGATGTCCCCTTCCTGCAGTCCCCAACTCCTGGCAGGGCTAGGGACACCGTGGGGGCACTCAGTGCTCCTGGGTGGAAAGGGGAGGGAAAGGGAGAGGAGAGAGGAGAGAGGAGAGAGGAGAGGACTCAAGTCTCAGATTCTTTCACTGCTCCACAGCACTCAGCTCCTGCCCATGCTGCCTGTCATCAAATTTATCTCCAAGCTTGTAAACAAGGTCCACGTGCCTCACAAACCTGGCGCTGTTGGGTGGGGATCCTCATCAAGGATCAGTTTGGCAAGTTGATTACAGGCGTCCAAAGTCACTCGACTTTGTGGGCTCTGCCCGCTGCCTCAGGCAGCTCAGATAAGGTCCCTTGTGTCCTCACATGTTCCTCCAGGGCCCATGAACTCATCTGTGGGGCCAGGCTCTGGAATCATTTCCCTTTTTGCTGGGAGCTGAATCTTTCTTGGATCCCACAAAGTGTTGAGGGGTGCCAGAGCTCCACAGATCCCTTGAGGGGTTTGTGACTCCTGTAAAGGGTTGAGAGCTCCCAGACCTCGTCCATGGAGGAGTTCATGACTCTGTGAGGAGTTCATGACTTCTATAAAGGGTTGAGAACTCCCAGGCCTCCTCCATGGATCCTACAAAGAGCTGAGAACGCACTGGCCCCCCTGCATGAATCCAGGGTTGAGAGCTCCCAAGCGTCCTCCATAGATCCTACAAAGGGCTGAGAGCTCTCATATCCCATACAAATATTATCAGCTCCTCTCCATGGAGTTGTGGCCATGGAGAGCTCTCCTTGATGCACTTTTTGGCATCACCTCCTCCAGGACCACCATGGCCATGCCCATGGAGACCCCCTGCTCTATTTCCATTTCCAGAACCTATTCCCAGGCACAGCACCTGTCCCCAGGTCCAACACCCATTCCCACATTCAGCATATATTCCCAAGGCCCAGTACCTATTCCCAGGTCCAGAACCCATCCGCAGTTCCAGCTCCACCACCACAGAATATCCCAAATCCTTCTAAGTGCCAGTGCCCCTCACCATGGTGCTCCACCTCTTCTCTCACCCAGGATCCCCGTGCCCTTCTCCTGCTCCTCCCACCTGGCCCAGCCTCCATCCCTGTCCAACAGCTCGGGCAGCGCCTCGGGGTGGAGCTGCCGGCCCAAGCTCAACGTCATGTTCATGAAGACCCACAAGACCGCCAGCAGCACCATCCTCAACATCCTCTTCCGCTTCGGGGAGAAGCACCGCCTGAAATTCGCCTTCCCCAACGGCCGCAACGACTTCTACTACCCGTCCTTCTTCGAGCGCAGCCAGGTGCAGCACTACCGGCCCGGGGTGTGTTTCAACATCATCTGCAACCACATGCGCTTCCACTACGAGGAGGTGCGCAAGCTCCTGCCGCCCGACGCCACCTTCGTCACCGTGCTGCGGGACCCCGCGTACCTCTTCGAGTCCTCCTTCCACTACTTCGGGCCCGTCATCCCCCTCACCTGGAAGATCACCGGGGAGGACAAGCTGGACGAGTTCCTCCGGGACCCCCAGCACTACTACGACCCCAACGGGTTCAACGCTCACTACCTCCAAAACCTCCTGTTCTTCGACTTCGGCTACGACAGCAGCATGGACGCCAACAGCCCGCTGGTGGAGGAGCACATCCGGGAGATCGACCGCCGCTTCCACCTCGTCATGTTGCTCGAGTACTTTGATGAGTCGCTGGTGCTGCTCAAGGACCTGCTGTGTTGGCAGCTGGAGGACGTCCTCTACTTCAAGCTCAACGCCCGCAAGGGCTCCACGGTGTCGCGGCTGACCCCGGAGCTGTACGAGCAGGCGACCGCCTGGAACCTGATCGACGCCAAGCTCTACCGCTACTTCAATGCCACCTTTTGGCGCAAGGTGGAGGCCTATGGGAGGGAGAGGATGGCCAGGGACGTGGCCGAGCTGCAGAGGGAGAACAAGAAGATGACCAGCATCTGCATCGACGGGGGACACGCTGTGGACGCCAGTGCCATCCAGGAGTCCTCCATGCAGCCCTGGCAGCCCCTGGGGGAGAAGACCATCCTGGGGTACAACTTGAAGAAGAAGATCAGCAAGAAGCACCAGAAGCTGTGCCGTAAGATGCTGACACCTGAAATCCAGTACCTGACTGACCTGGGGGCCAACCTCTGGATCACCAAGCTATGGAGCCACGTGCGGGACTTCCTCAGGTGGTAGGGGCTGGCAGGTGCCCCGCTCCCCTGGGGAAAGAACCAGGTGCTTTCATTTTTGTTACTCATGGTTCTCTTGGTTTGGAACTGGCTGGAGGCTCTGGAGCCCAGGAACTTTTGGGGGGACCCTCCATCACTTTCCTGCAGAGCCCCAGCTTGGGCAGGAGAGTGGAGACTCTGCCTCTGTCAGCGGGGTCAAGGACTGGGGGGTCCAGGGGTGGTGTTTTCCTGCAGGATCCACTTCTTCCTTCCCCATGGAAAAGCTGGAGGAGGGATTTATGAAGGATGTGGCTTTGTCACAGCAAGTGCAGGACATCCATCACCAGGTTGCTGGGTGCAGGCAGGGATGTGCTGGGACAGAAGTGCTAGAGGGTTTCCCTTGCCCGGGGTGGGCAGAGATGCCCACAGGGAACCCAGCCCTCCAGGAGCTCCTCAAATCACCCCACTGAGCCCTGGTTTTGGGGTGTGGGAATGTCAGAACCTGCTGCACTGCCTCAGCCCTTCGATGTGATGAGTGCAGCATGTTCTCAGCCCACCAACAGCTAGGCTGTGACCTAGAGGCACCCGGAGCCATTTGGAGATTGGAAAACCCATCCCAAAAGCCCCGGCCTTTATCAACAGGTCCCCATGGCAAAGGGCACACCCTCACTGACCCCCTTCGTCCCAGTTAGAGGAGCCCGTGGCCCTGGTCCCCCCAGGGGACATCCCAAAAGGCCAACAGGGTCTGGTGACAACTGGTGTGGGGAGGAGATGGGAGCGGGGGCAGTGGGACTGTCCCCATGATGCCATCCAGGGCTCGGTGAGGATGCTGAGGGCAGGGGCCATCCCCAGTGCCCACCCTGCCTTGGCGACAAACCTCGTGCGTCCCAGCTGGGCTGGATGACACTGGTGACACCACGTCCCACTGAGAGTGGCCCTGGCTGGGCACAGAGGTGGCACCTGTGGCTGAGCCATCCCCCAGCAAAGGGACCCCCATTGTCCCCCTACCTGTGTTCAGCTCCTTCTGTAAAGACCAGAAATAAAAAAATAATTTACTTTTGTAATATCATTGTATATTTGGTAGTTTTGGATATAAGGATGGTCCAGCTGGTCTCCAGCCATCTCCTCCTCTGGGATGGGATGGATGAGGCGAGGATGTTGTCACAGCCACAGCAGGAGGCTCAGCCAGTCCCTGCTCCTTCTGGGAGCTCCCCAGGGTCCTGGCACCACTGCCCCCTTCAGTCCTGGGGTGGGGGGCCCCATGTCACCCAGCAGTGCTGAGGAATGAGACCCTCAGTGCGAGTGGGGTGCCTGGGTCTGTCCCCAGTGTCCCTGCTGGGTATGGGGGACACCCCCATGGTGTGCAGGTGCCCCCAGGAAGATCTTCTGGCTTCACAGGGACAACAGAGCCATGGGACCTGCCATCCCTGGTGACACAAACCACTGGTGCCACCGTGTTCCATCTCTGCTGCTGGTGGGGAGCACTCCATTTCAGGGGTGGCCATGGGACTTGCACTGGGTCTTCTCCACGCTCCCTCTGCAGCCAGGCCACCAGGACAGCCCGCTCAGAGGAGACTGTGGGGGTGTTGGGGCTGTGATGGGGACACCCGAGGCAGGCAGGACCCAGGGACACGAGCACTTCAGCAGGTCTCTGTTCTGGCTGTGACCAAGCTGCTGCTCCCACGTGGTGTTCCTCTCCAGCAGAGCTATGATGGGACAAGGAGGGGTGCTGGGGACTGGGACCCTCTGGTGGGACCAGGATCACCCATGGGATCCTGACAATGGTGGGGTCCAAACTGGGGTGGGCTTAAGAACCTTGAGGTGGGACCAGGGATGTCCAAGGGACCGAGGCTGAGTGATGGGACCAGGCCATGTGGTGACCTGGGATCTGCTTGGATCAGCACCATGTGCAGGAGTACAAGGACATGGTGGGAGCAGCACCATGCACAGAACCAGGACTGACTGGTGGGGATGGGACCTTGTGGTGGGATCTGCACCTTGCTGAGGACCAGGACCACAACAATGGCATGGGAGGCCCAGCATCACACCTGGGACCAGGACTAACTGGTGGGTATGGGATCATGCTCAGGACCACCTGCAGGACCAGTCTGAGTGGTGGCACTGGGGCTGTGGGATGGAATTGGGACTGGAAGATGGGCACAGGCTCTTGTGGTGGGACTGGCAAGGTGTGAGAGGTGGGACCAGCCCCAGGTGTGGGGCTGCTGATGGCTGCAGAGACCCAGCAAAGCCCCCAGCCCCACCAGTGCCAGCTGGGACCCATTGACACCCAGCCCCAAGCCCATAAAGACCCCCAGCTGGTGGGGTGGGGATGCTGCTCACCGGGGATGGAGCTGTGCTTGTTGGTGCTGCTGCGTGGGGCTGTGCTGGAGGTGTCAGGTGATCGGGGCTGGGGTCCCCCTTCATTCCTCCCACTGGCTGTCCTGGAGGAGGTGGGTGGTGGATGCCCCTTGCTTTGCGCAGTGCTGGTTCCTGATGGTCACCTGGGGGCTGGCCAGGGTAGAGGAGCCTTCCTAAAATGATCCCAAGCTCTGAGGGTTGGGGCAAGGGGCTGCCAGGAGCTCCCCTGAGGTCCCAGCAGGGCTGGTGGGTCCTGGTTGTGGTGAGGGGGATCACAGGCACTGTGGGCTCTGTGGCTGGGCAGGGTCACGGTGCTGGGAATGCTCCTGGTGCATTCCTGTGGGGCTGGGCACAGAGGAGCCCCTAATGTGCTCCTGGGTGCTCTCCCTGCCTTTGTGCTGCTGTCCCCAGCAAGTCCTGGGGACACCTGAGGACCTGGATGTCCCTGCTGTGTCTGGGACATGCTTCTGCTGGCTCAGCCCTTCCCTTCCATGGCTCCAGCTGCCTCAGAGCCCCCTGGTCACACGATGACAGCTCCAGTGATGCCCTCAGGCATGGGGACAGGGAGGGTTCCTGCTCACCCCCACTCTGAGGAGCCCATCCTGAACTTCACCTTGAGGCTCCTGGATGGTGAGTGCAGGAAAACACTGGGGGTGAGACCATGGGATGGGTCCAGCCAAGACCCAGGGCTCAACCAGCAGCAGTCAGTGCCTTCTCCTGGCTGGCCCCAGGACTTGGAGCACCAGGAAAGGTGGCTGTCCCTGCAGGAGCTCCCCCCTGTCCTTGTGGAGGGTGTAGGGCTTTGAGATGTTCCCAGTGCTGTGCCTGATGCCACAAGGGGGTTTGGGCTCAGCTCTGCCCCCATGGGTGACATGGTCCCTCTCAGCTCCATGGGGAGTCCAGGAAGCTCTGGAGAGCAGGGAAAGCAGGACTGGGGGACAGAGCCAGGATGGGGGGTGGGCTCTGAAAGGGGAAGCTGTAGGGATGGTGGTCTGGGATGTGTCTGGTGCCCTCACCTCTGGTGGGACAGGTCTGGGGGTGTCACACTGAACCCACAATCCCCAGAGGACTCCAGTGCCACTCCAGAGAAGCTGCCAGTGCTCAGCCCTGGCTCTGTGATCCACCTGGAAGCCAGTGTCCACTTCAGTCCCAGCATCTCCATGAAGATCCAGGTGGATCAGTGCTACTGGACCACCACGGAGCAGCCAGGACACTCCAGGAGGGTCTTCATGGTGGTGAACAGCCGTGGGTCAGTGCTGGTGGGGCAGGAAGCAGGGGCTCCTTCTCCAGCCACCCTGGGGTCCTGCAGGACCTCCTGATGGAAAGGGATGTCCAGAGCCTGGAGACAGCCCTGGAATGTCCTGTGTCACTCTCCTGCCACAGGTGCCTGCAAGGGGAGAAGCTGGGGAACATGTCTGTCCAGCAGCAGAGAGGGGGTTCTGTCCTCCAGCTCCCCATCCTGGCCCCCACGCTGGAGGGGGAGCCCAAGGAGGAGCAGGTGAGTGGGGATGATGCCCTTGCTGGTGGGATGGAGGTCCCAGGGAGGGACATGACCCGGGTGTCCCAAAACATTGTCCATCCTGAGACATGGTGCTCCTGCTGGGGTGGCCTCAGCCCCACGAGGTCATGCAGGAGAGCAGGGTCCCTGAGGAAGGACATGGTGCCTCAGCAGGTCTACGTGCACTGCCTGCTGATGGCATGGGGACAAGGACGTGCCACCACGTCCTGCTTCTACAGCCACACCACGGCCAGGTACGCTGCGTGTGTGGGGACACAAGCACCCCATGGGTGTGCTGGGGACAGAATTCACCTCTGGGAGACCAAGTCACCCCATTGTGGTCTGGATGTCACCTCTTATTCGATGGCAGATGGTGGCATTGCCACAGGTTCCAGCTCCCCCATGCTGCAGAGGTATTGTGGAGATGCTTGGAGACATCTCCTCTGGGACAGCACCACGTGGGTCTTGTGGTGGAGTCTGGGGACCCCTAGAGCCACCCCCCAGTTCTGTCCTCTCCTCTCTCTGCTGGCACAACGCAGAGGACCCTGTCCAGAGTACCCCATGCCACTGCTGTGACACCGGCTGTGCTGCTGCTGACACCCTCCATGGAGACATGCCAGGTACCAGGGCTGGGACAGGGTGGCCCCAGGTTGTTTTGGGGCCTTGGGAGGGCTCCTGGACCTGGGCTGGACTGCATTGGTTATATCCTCCCACAGCATTCCCAGGAGAGGGGACACTCCACCGGGAGACTGTTGGACCAGTGCTGGTGCAGAAGGAGAAGCTGCCATGGCACAAAGGTGAGGGACACCCCAACTCTCTCCCATGTTCCCAAAACCCCCACCCCTTGTGGTGACCCCCAGGTGTGTTTGTGCTGTTCCCAGCCCTGTGCTGGATGGTGAAGAGGCTCCTGCTGGCCCTGCTGGGCAGTGCTGTGCTGGGGGTCACCGTGCTGGGGGGGCTGCTGGGGCTGGCCCTGCCCAGAGGGGACAGCAGCCACCGAGGAACAGGTGTCCCTTCCAGGCTGAGCTGCAGAGCGTGGTGGGGGCCCTGCTCCTCAGGGAGACACAGAAACAGATGGGGCCAGAACCTCTTTCTCACCAATAAACGTGGTTTTGCTTTCTCTAAAGCTTCTCCTGGTTGGTAGTGTGTGGATGCCACCAATGGATGGAAATGTGCTCCAACACTGGCAAGCCACATCTCCAGGTTCCTGTGGCTTCCAGGTGTTGTGGCATCGTCCCAGCCTGCGGTGCTGGAGATGGCAGCTCCTGGCTGCGTGGATTTCCTGTCCTTGGAGACCATGGATGTGGTGGCAGCTCCTGGGGGACAGTCCCCAGGATGTCCCATGAGGCTGTGGAGGTGCAGAAGGTTCCAGGGTGGGGACAGCAGGGCTGCTCTGGGCAGGTGGAGACCCCTGAGGGACTGGGATTCACCCAGACTCATCTGTCCCCCAGGTTATGACATGGCCTGGCCTTGGTGGCACCTCAGCATCACCCATCAGGGGTCTTGTTTGAAATGGTTTATTAGGACCAGTGTGGGGCAGGGTGGCCACTCTGGGGGTCACCAGAGTGAGAGGTCACAGTAGGTGGGTCACAGCAGCATGCCTCAGTTTCCCCAGTGCATGGGGAGGTGCTCAGTGGGATGTCGGGGGCTCTCCTGGTGCCCCGTAAAGCTTGCGGAGGCTGGAATCCATCAGGAAATCCACAGTCCTGCGGCAGGAGAGGGCGTCAGCGGGGCCCGGGGGTCTCTGGGGCAGGGATGTGGGATGGGTGGGGCTGTCCTTAATATCCCCTGAGACACCAGCGCCACCAAAACCAGGTTTAGCACAGCCTCACTGTGCTAATCCCGGCTCAGCTCTGGATAATCCCTGTCCTGGCAGGGACATGTCCTGGCTGGACCCCAGCAAAGCCCCTTTGGAGTGGAGACATCCCGTCANGAAGGGAAGGGAAGGGAAGGGAAGGGAAGGGAAGGGAGCCTGTGGGAACAGGGCAGCTGGCAGCAGCAGTGTTCCTCCTCCTGGGACACACTGTGCTCACACTGCTGGACGCTGCTGTGGCCATCAGCAATGCCGTGTCCTGCCTTGCAGGGAGTCACCCTCACGCTCTGGTCCACCTGTGGCCTGTCCCGAGGGGGCCTCTACGGGGAGTGGCAGGGGGTGATCTGCCCTGGGGAGAGCAGCTCGCAGGTCCAGGTATGGAACTGGGGCTCCAGTGGGGCTGGGAGTGGGGCTGGGAATGGGGCCAGGAGCCGGGCTGGGAGTGGAGCCGGGAGTGGAGCTGGGAATGGGGCTGGGAGCAGGGCTGGGAGCAGGGCCAGGTCTCCAGCTCCTGTGCCCACAGCGCTGTCCCCACAGAAGTACCTGCAGCAGCTGTGGAACACCATCCTGCTGATCGCCCTGCTGCTCTGCACCGGCGTCATGGTGCAGGCCCAGCGGCAGTCGCGGCAGGAGCTGTCGGAGCGGGATGCTGAGGTGGGAATGTGGGAATGTCTGTGCTGTGTGCCATGCCCGGGGGGTTTGGGTGGGCTCTGACCCTCGGCTCCCCCCACAGCTGGACCTGAAGCAGCACATCCGGCGGCGGCTGCTGGCGCTGAAAACGCGGCGCTACCACCCTGGGAAGCCGCCCCGGAGCCGCGCCTGTGAGATCGACAGCTGTGCCGTGTGCCTGGACCAGTTCCACAAGAGCCAGGTGGGACTGCACCCCCCCCTGGGCCGAGCCTTGGTCACTGCTGGGGCTGGGATGTCCCTGGCAGGGGCTGGTGCTGTGTCCCCGGCAGGGCTGGGCTGTGTCCCACCACCCAGCTGTGCTCACACGTGCCCTCCCTCCCCTGCTGGCAGTGGCTGCGGGTGCTGCCCTGCTCCCACGAGTTCCACCGGGACTGTGTGGATCCCTGGCTCCTGCTGCAGCAGACCTGCCCTCTCTGCAAACGCAACATCCTGGGTGAGAACCGCCCTGACACCCAGCTGAGCCCCCCCTGACCCTGGGCACAGCCTGGGGAGCACCTGGAGCCTGCCAGGCTCCCTGTGCCAAGGCTGTCTGTCTGTCCTCCCTTGCAGGGAACTGCTGCACGGACAGCTAGCTGGCCCGAGGACACACTCCAGGGACAGACCCATGGCTGCTGCAAGGACAGGGAGGGGGCAGGGGGTGCCCAGTGAGAGGCACTTGCTGCCACAGCTGGGTTGGTGTGGCTGTGCCCATCACAGTGCCCAGACTCTGGAGAGGGAAGGACTTTGGGCTCTCCTGCTGGGTGTGAGTTGAGGGGTGGGGGGTCCAGATGGGCAGTGTTGGGGAGGGAAGATTGGGGCACCCATGGGTCTAACAGGGTGGGGGCTGGGGCAGGGAGAGCCCTGGTCCTGCTGTGCTCTTGCCCTGCTCACAGCAATTTTTCTAAGTCTTGGGTTTTTTGTCTATTTGCTGGTGGCCGTGGCAGGGTAGGCAGAGCATGGCTGCAGTGCCAGCCCCTCTGGGAGGTGGGTGACAGCTCTGCCAGGGCTGGGGCTGGCACGGCTGTGGGTGACTCATGGCCTCACCGTGGGAGGGCAGGGGTTGGATGCTTTATTTATAATAATAACTTATTAGAAAGGATGGCACAAGCCAGCTGCAGAGCCAGCACGGTCACTGGGGACACACCACGGGTCCTGCCCCACAGGCTGCAATGTGGCACGTGTCCATCCCTATTAAACATGGAGCAAGGGCTGCCTGTGTGGTTTTGTGGGGCTTGCACGGGGCTCATAGTGCTGGGGAGGCAGCTCAGAGGTCAGGGCCAGCCTGTGCCAGTGGCTTGGTGGTTCCCAGCCCCTCGGGGCTCATAGAGGGAGAATTACTTTCCCAGGCTGTGGCTGTGCTGATGGGCTGAGGGTGGTTTGGGCTCCTCTCATCCCAGGCCAGCTCTGCTTTCCTCTTCCAAGTGTGGCCACATCCCAGGCCCCTCTTGGGACTGGTTCCTGGCAGGAGCCAGCACAAACTGTGCCCTGGCATCAACCTCAGGGCTCCTGTGGGGATCCAGCAGCAGCGTAGCCAAGGGTGACTGATCCCAGTGCCCAGCAACGTCCCTGGAGCAGCTCCCCCAGGAAGCAGGCAGAGCCCAGCTTTCCCTTCCTGACGCACCAAGACCCAGTAACGAGGTCCCCTGGGCAGGGCAGGTGCTGCTGGTGGAAGTTTCTGTGTCAGGAAATGCAGAGTGATCCGTGTTTATTTGCGGTGAGCCCCGGTGTGCAGCGAGGGCAGGCTGAGCCCCAGGTGGCGCACTGGGAGCGACAGGCAGGGTTTGGCCTGGGNGCCCCAAAAGCAGCGTGCCCCTCTCACCTTGCGGAGCATCGCCTCTGCCTTGGCCAGGTCGAAGGAGCGTGCTGCAAGAGAGCAGAGCAGAGAGCTCAGACCCCGCCAGCACCACAGGGGCTCCCCCCACCAGCGCTGTCCCACTTTGGGGTTACCTCGGAGCCATTTCAGCAGGAAATAGTCGTCCTGGGAGGGCAGGGAGGGCAGCACGTCCTGCACCTTCTCCCGGAACTGCGGGGACAAGAGGGACAGTTGGTGAAGGGGTTCCTGATCCTCCCCAAAAACCTCAGGGCTGGAGGTTTGTCCTTTCCTTGTGCCCCCCAAAAATCATGCCAGCCAGGACTGGGACATTGCCAGGGGAGATGGCCACCCTGTGCCCCTCCCTGCCCCACATGCAGCCAGGATCAGCAGTCACCTGGCAGGGGACTGTCCCCAGGCCCACTGGCATATTCTGAGTGTTCCCAAGCCCTTGCATAAGGTGTGTGGGCTGTCACCACCCTGCTCCTCCCAGGGTGTCTCACAGGGACTGGGTGAAGCAGTCCCCTCCAGGGGTGTCCTTTGGGATGGATGGAGGCTGTCCCCTGTGTACCCCTGCCCAGTGACACCCCAGTGGGCCACAGCCCCCCTGGCACAGGCAGGAGGGTGCCAGGGTGCAGGGCTAGGGGGCTGGGAAAGCTGGGGCCCCTCAGAGGGGGCACTGCAGGCACCAGGCAGACCAGGCCCTGCCAATGGCATCCCTGGGATGAAGCCAGTCACCAGCAGATTGCCACATGTCCCCGTCTCAGTGACACTCCAGTGGGTCACAGCCCTGTGACACAAGCAGGAGGGTGTTGGGGTGCAGGACTGAGGGATTTGGGGTCCCCTCAGGGAGGGACCAAGCAGACCAGTCCCCACCAGTGGCATCCTTTGGGATGGAGCTGGTCACACTGTCCCCTGCTGTTTGTGACCCCCAGTGGGTCACAGCTCCCCAGCACAGGCAGGAGGGTTTTGGGGTGCAGCATTGGGAGGTTTGGGGTACCTAGAGTCTCCTGTCCATGTGGCCCCGCTCACCCCTACCAGGCCATAGCTCAAATCTCGGTACCAGCCGAGGCCCTCCCCTTAATGAGCCTGATTAGCTTATCTCCCGCTGAATTTAGGGGTAATTAAACCCGGGATTAGCTCCTTCACCCTGGGACAAAGCCGGTGGTGGTGGACGAACGGGTTCGGCCACTCGCCTCCGCCACTCGCCCAGGGCACGGCTGGCACCGGGCACGGTTTGGGCACCGTGCCCCACGCCTGCCCCTGCCCCCCGTGCTGGCACCGGCAGGGTCATCGCCCGCCAGTGGAATTTGGCTGGGGCTGAAAGGCAGCGATAAGATAAAGGCACGGGGGTGCCCTCTCGGTGCACTGAACCCCGATAACAGCTGGCACCCAAACCCCAGCGCCTGGCAGGGGTGGCCGTGGTGGGTGACAATCAGCGGCCCTGGGTGTCCCCGGGCCTGCAATCCCGGCGGTGAGGGCAGGAAGTTTTCCGGTCCCATGGGAAGGGTGGAAGAAGAAAACGGGCTCGGCGGAGCCCAGGCTGGTGGCACAGCCGGGATGGTCCTTCCCTGGTGGGCAGCACNCCCACAGCCCTGCCAGGCTCTGGAGCCGGCCGTACCTCCTCGTGCCGGAGCAGGCTCTCCACATGGACCTTCTCCTTCTCCAGCTGCACCCTGCTGGCACTCAGCTCCTGCTCCAGCTGCACCCTGCTGGCACCGAGCTCCTGCTCCAGGCTGTCCCTCTGGCCTGTGAGCACCTGCACCTTCTCCTCCAGCTCCAGCACCTGGCTCCGGGCCACCATGGTGGTGCTCACCTCCTCCAGCAAGGCGGTCTTGGAGAACTCTGGGGAGACAGAGCCACCATGGCCCAGGCTGGGCAGGGGAGACAGGCTGGAGGAGCATGGAGGTGATGGGAGGGATGGGGGTGCTCAGCCTGGAGAAGAGAAGGCTCCAGAGAGAGCTTAAGAACCCTTTCCAGTGCCTAGAGGAGCTCCAAAAGAGCTGGGGAGGGACTGGGGACAGAGTGTGGAGGGACAGGACACAGGGAATCGCTTCCACTGCCAGAGGGCAAGGTTAGATAGGATAGGGGGAAGGAATTGTTCCCTGGCAGGGTGGGCAGGCCCTGGCACAGGTGCCCAGAGCAGCTGTGGCTGCCCCTGGATCCCTGGCAGTGCCCAAGGCCAGGCTGGACACTGGGGCTGAAGCAGCCTGGGACAGTGGGAGGTGTCCCTGCCATGGCAGGGGTGGGATGAGATGGGATTTAACATCCCTGCCCATCCAAACCAGTCCATGATTCTGTGGTTCAGGGGCACCCCATGCCCTGCACAGGCCCTGGCAGAGGAAGGCAGGTCTGACAGGAGGCCTGTGACCCCCCCAAACCTCCCCCAGCATCAGCCCCTTCTGGCACTGGGTGATGCTGGGGTGCTGCTGTGAAGGAGGCCCATCTCTGCCCATCCTCTCCCATCCCCACAGCTCCACAGCCCAGTCTGGGGGTGCTGGGGGCTGCAGGGCTGTGACACACTTGTGAGGCCAGGGGGAGGGGGATGTGTGAGCCCTGGGTGAGCCCCTTACCCAGCTCCTGCACAGCCACCTCCTTCGCTGCCAGCTCCTCCTTCAGGGCCGAGAGTTGCTCCTCCAGCAGAGTAGCTTCTAAACCAGAACAAAACCTTCTCATTAATCAGTTCCTCAAAAACAACCCAACCAAGGGGCAGCAAGCAGCCACACCAAAGTGTTTTCATCCAGTGACAGGACACACACAACCAGCTCCCACTGCCCAGGACTGGGCTCACAGCAGGGAAAATCCCCCAGCACCTACAAGAAGCCCTGATGGTGGGGATGGGGCCAAGATTTGCCCATGGACTCTGTTCTTCTTCTTGCAAATGCCCCTGGGCCTGGGAGGGTGTCAGCCCAGGACAGAAGGGATGCTGGGAACAGCTGGGGACAGCTCTGTACCTCTCCTGAGCTCATCCTTTTCCTCCTCCAGCCTGGCCACAGCCTTGGAGTGCTCCTTTTCCTTGGCTTTCAGGCTCTGCTCAGCTGCCTTCTGCTGCTCTGCTTGGATGCTCTTCTCTGCCTGCAGCTTCCTGGAGAAGTCCTCAACCTGTTTCTGCAGCTTGTCCTTCTGCTTGCCCATCTTCTCCAGCTCAGCCCTCACGGGGTTGAGCTGCTGCAGCAGCCCCTGGAGGTGTTTGTTAATGCGGGACAGGTCCTTGCTCTGCTCCGAGGCCCAGTAGCTCATGTCTGCTGCAGAGAGGTTCCTTCTCCCTGTGCTGTCCTCCAGCACCTCCTGGAACTTGCTGAGAGCTGAAGGGATGTTCTGGCTCTGGCAGATGCTGGTGATGGCTCTGCCCACCTCGTGGAGGCTGGCCTGGGCGCTGGAGCAGCTGTCACAGGAGCCCAGGGGCGACCCCGGGGTCTGTGTGGGGACACTGCGGGTGCTCAGAGCCGGGCTGGTGCCAGCCCTGGGCTGGGCACTGGGATCTGGGCACACAGAACTGGGCTGGGCATCCTCTGAGGCAGTGCCTGACTCCAAAACTTCTGGCAAGATGGATTTCAGGTGCTCCTGCTGACATTTCCCAACCTGGAGAGCAGAGGGTGGAGTGGATTGCTGTGTGGGGATCTCCCACCTGCAACCCTTCTCCTGAGGGAGAGAGCACAGAACAAAACCAGAGCCCGGATCAAAGAGGAAATGACCCATAAAAGCCTAAATCAGGTGTGGAGATGGGACAGCAATGCAGCCAAGGGACAGTGACTAAAGGGAAGCCTCAGCAGCAAAACCTCTTCCACTGCTCCCCAGCATCCCTTCTGTCCCACCCCTGGATTTGCCCTCTTGGATTGTTGTGAGGCTTTTCCATGAGAAAGATCATTTTGGGGAAAATAAAATGCCTGACAGGTTGTTTTTACCGCCGATTAATTCACTGACTTGAGGCAGCTCAGATCCACAGTGGGATCAGCAGAGCTGCAGCATTTTGGCAGTGGGAGAATATTTATTTCCCAAGCTCTGAAGGCAGCCCAGCTCACTCATCCCGAGATCTGGAGCAGGAGGGATGCAGTGGAGGGAAGAGACTCGGGCTGGGAGGGGACAGACGTGTGACACAGGGGCAGCACTCAGAGGCTGCACGCACATCTGGCACATCTGGCGTGGCGAGAAGCAACACGATCCAAACCCGGGGAGGGAGGGNCAGCCGGGGAAGAGGATCTCGTACTCGACCTGGTGGGACGAGCCCCGGTTGACCACGACCGAGTGCTCGTACTTCTGTGCCAGCTGGTCCCGCACGTAGTAATGCTGGGGCACATCCCCCCCGTAGTTTATCTGGAAGGGATGGAGGATGTGGGGTGGGGGAACTGCCCAGCCCCCCTAAAGAACCACACGGGGGCTCCTCCTACCTTGCTGGAGCACTTGGGGTCCCCATCAGGGTCTGTCAGTGTCCCCCCGTACTCCACCGGGATCTGCGCGGGGTCGATGTACTTCTGCAGGACCTCCTTCCAGTTGGCTGGGGGGGAGGACAGCAGGTTTGGGGGGGCTGCAGGTTGGAGTATCCCCCCTGGGTGGGGTGATAGCAGAGGGGGAATGCAGTCCCTCCATTTGGGACATGCTGGGGAGGGTCAGGACTCACATCCCAACACCACAACCTTCTTGCGCGTGTCCTCGCTCAGGAAGTGCTTGACCAGGTTGTAGGCCACGGGGAAGAGCTTGGGGGCTGGGGGCAGAGGGGGGTGTCAGAGGGGAGTCAGCATCTGGGTAAGGGCAGCAGGACCCGGGGGCCAAACTCACCCTTCACAATAAAGAGGCGCTTGAGGGACTCGGGGTAATTCTCCTCGAACATGGACAGGATCTGCAGATGGGGGAGCTCACATCACCCATGCCATGCACCCAGCAGGACCCACCCAGAACTCTGGGGAGTGCAGGGACCTGCTCCTGCATCATCCAGGGACCAGCCCCTGCGGTCCATGGGAAGGGGGGTGGGCAGGAGCCCTCACCTCCCCATACGTGTCCACAGCTGGCTTCCAGAGGTGCTTCAGGCCCAGGCCCTCACAGTCGTACACCATCATCACCATCTCAATCTTCTTGCCCAGCTGGGACAGGAGGATGAGGGGGATCAGGCAGGACTCATGGGGAGGTTCAGGGATGGGGTGGCCCCAACAGGCTGGTCACACCAGCCAGAGCCTCCTCTTAAGCGTTGGTGTGGGGAGAAGGGGCATGGTGGGAGCTGGGACAGGGACCCAGGCTGAGGGACAGCGGGGACATGGACTGGTGGGGATGGGCGGGATGCAGAGTTGTGGGGTGGGAGTGTGAACCAGAGATGGACATATGGGGTTGGCAGGGACATGGTCCATGATGGGGTGGACAGGACATGAACTTGTGGGGCTGAGGGAGGTGAGCTGGACATGGACCTGTAGGGCTGGTGAGCAAGGACATTGGCTGGGAGAGATGGAGCAGAGATGGACATATGGGGATGGACAGGACGTGGACCTATAAGATTTATAGGGTTGTCAAGAACATTGTCTGGTAGGAATGAACCAGAGATGGGCTGGGGAGGACTTTGAGTTGAGGGACAGAGGGAAATGGACAGGACAGGGACCTGTAAGATATATAGGGCTGTCAAGGACATTGTCTGGTAAGAATGGACCAGAGATGGATATATGGGGCTGGGGAGGACATTGAGTGGTGGGGATGGGCAGGACATGGGCTGGCAGGGACACGGACAGAGAGAAGTGGACAGGACAGGCACCCGTAGGGCTGGGGAAGATGATGACTGGTAGGAACAGACCAGATGTGGACACAAAGCGCTGCTGGGGCCAGCAGAGTGTGGGCAGGTTCCCACCTTTTCACTCTGCTGTTCACACGCCAGCCGGAGCAGTTCACAGTCCCGGAACTTGTTTTTGATCAGGTCCTGCTTGGAGGCGGAGAAGAGCAGCCCCTTGCCGTCCAGCGGCCCGATGATCTCGTAGCGCACCGGGCTGCCCTCGCGGTCATAGCCACACAGCCCGCCCGACATGTACTTCCGAATCACCTGTGGGGGTACCGGGGCTCAGGGCACCTCACNGCCCACCTCGTTGGCATAACCTGAGGGGAGGGTAGGGTCAGGGACTGGCTGTCGCCATGTCACCCCTGCAGGGTGTCCCAGTGTCACCGGATGGATCTCGCACAGGGGGTGTTTGTGGTGCCTGGGTCCGCTTGGACCCGCTGCCACAAGGACAGCTGGGCTGGGGGTGCCTGCTGCCAGGGCTGGTGTCTGTGACTGCCCAGTGCTAGTGACAGTGCCCACTCTGGGCTCTGTGTCTGTGCCCAGTGCCTGGCAGGAACCAGTAACTCTCCTGGTGTCCAGTCTCCATGCACAGCGCCAGTGGATGATGCCACTAGCCAGTGTCCGTGCTGGTGACAGGTACCTGGTGCTGTGCCATGCCAGTGCACAGTGCCAGGGCCTGCTGCGTGGTGCTCATATCTGGTACTAGAACCCTGTATTGGTGCTGGGTGTGGTGCCCAGTACCACGGACCCAGCGCACTCTATGGTACCAGTGCTGGGTGTCAGTGCCCGGTACCACGGGCAGCGCCCAGCACCTGGGGCAGTGCAGAGCAGAGCGTGGTGCCTGGTACCCGACACAGTGTCTGGTGTCACATTCCTAAAGCAGGGTTGTCAGTGCCCGGTTCCTCATGTGGTGCCTGATGTTGGTACCCGGTACCAGTGTCTGGTGAGTCAATGCCCGGTCCCCGGTGTTGGTACCCTGTGACAGGGGCCGGTGCCCAGTATCACTGCCCCGTTTGTGCAGCCGGTACCCGATGTCAGTGCCCAGGTCCCAGTAGTGGTATTTGATGTTAGTGCCCAATGTCAATGCCCAGGACCCCGTGCTTGTACCCGGTGTCAGTGCCCGGTGCTGGTACCCGGTTTCCGGTGTCAGTACCCGGTACCCAGTGTCAGTGCCCGGTTCCCGGCGCTCCCGGCGATGTACCCGGTGTCAGTTCTCTGTACTCAATGTCAGTGCCCGTTTCCCGGTGTCAGCATTTAGTGTCAGTGCCCGCTTCCCGGTTTCAGCATTCACTGTCAGTGCCCGGTTCCCGGTGTCAGCGCTCAATGTCAGTGCCCGATGCCGGTACCCGCTTCCCGGTGTCAGNGCTGTCCCCGCTGCTCCCGCTGCTGAGCCGCCTGCAGGGGGGAGCAGTTACAGGGGAGGAAGGGCAGGAACCTGCCCCAGCCCCTTGCTCTGGCTCCTACTCACCCACTGTCCTGCCTGCTGGCTGCCCTGAGGAGCTGGGACCCCAGCTGGGCCTGTGGGATGAGCTGGGGAAAGGAAGAGAAGGTGAAATTTCCTCCCACCAGCTTCAGCTCCAGTCACATCCCTTGGCCACCACAGCTGGTGGCACAATGGCCACAATGATGGAAAGGAGCTGGAACCAGCCCTGGGCACCTCAGGCAACACCAGTTAAACCAGAGCAGGAGGAGCTTGGGCTTGGCCCTCCCAGGGTCCCCAAAGGATGTCTAGGGGCCGTGGGGTGGTTTTGGGGCACCCAGCTCACCTTGAGCACGCCCTGCTCGGCTGCTGCCTTCACCTTGGCCAGCAGAGCCTCCAGCTGGGTGTTCTCCCTCTCCAGCACCTCAATCCTGATCTTGTTGGCCTGGAGCTGACTCTTCATGTCCTCTGTTAAGTTCCCACTGCCTGCAGACAAAATCCAACAGAGCCCAGCCTGCTGCTGCCTGTCTGCTCAGAGGTGTGGGCACCCCTCCTGCCCGCCCTGGGCACGGAGCAGTGGCACAGCCTGGGGGGTGGCAGCTGGGACCCAAGCCTGTGGGCAAAGGAAGCTCTGCCATGTCCTGGTCCTGCTCAATGTCCTGGCCCCGATGTGGGATGCACAGAGGCACACTGGGATGGTCACAGCTTCACACGGGGTCTGAGCCCTTCCTGGGTGTCAGTGGGAGTGTCTGGGGCCAGCAGGATCCCCTGGGAGCTCTGGAGACCCCAAGGCACAAACCCTTCTGCTCCCTTACTCTCAAACTGCATCTCAGTGGGCGTGTGGAGATCAGGGAAGAACACCAGGAGCCTTTCCCGCTCCCTCAGCTCCTGTGCTTGTTCCTGCAGCTGGGATGTGTTGGCCTGCAGCTCCAGGATGGATTGCTCCAGGGATTGCTTCTCCTGCTGCAGCGTGTCCAGCAGCTCCTGCATGGCACAGTGGGGAGGGGGTGAAGTTTGCCAGAGTGAGGACTCAGCCCCTCATGGAAGGCTCCCACCCTTCCCTGATGATAAGGATGTCCCATGGCAGTTGGAAATGGACAATGTGCAAGGTTCTAGCTGTGAGATCCCTGTGTGTGCTGGGAGCAGGAGCACCAACCACAAAGTGTGGAGCATGTCCAGGTGTCCACGAACAGAACACTGGAGATGTGGAAGCACCTCAAGACATCCCTTCCTGCTGCTCTCCTCTGCCCTGACTCAACCAGAGCCTTGTCTGGCACAGGGTGGAGGGAGAGGCCTCTTCCCCAGGGAATGCCATGAGGATGTGGCCATGTGGCAATGCCACCCTGGGTCCCAGAGTGCCCCTCCTGGGACAGCTCTGGCTGTGGGTGTGGGCAGGGCAGTGAGTGCCTGTCTGTGGCAGCCCTGTGGCACAGGCTTGTGACAGTGTTCACAGGGGTCTGAGGAAGAGGGAAGAGATGAGGAACTAACCCCATGTTTCAGAAGGCTTGACATATTATTTTATGATATATATTATATTGAAGCTATACTAAAAGAATAGAAGAAAGGATTTCATCAGAAGACTGGCTAAGAATAGAAAAAGAAGGAATGATAACAAAGGTTTGTGGCTTGGACAGAGAGTCCGAGCCAGCTGACTGTGATTGGCCATTAATTAGAAACAACCACATGAGACCAATCACAGATGCACCTGTTGCATTCCACAGCAGCAGATAACCATTGTTTACATTTTGTTCCTGAGGCCTCTCAGCTTCTCAGGAGCAAAAATCTTAAGGAAAGGATTTTTCAGAACATACCATGGCTACACAGGCTGTGTCCCACACCTGGGCACCAGCACTCACCTGCTGTTCCTGGAGCTGTTTGCCACTCTGCTGCTGGCTCTGCTCCAGCTGCTCGGCCAGCCGGGCCTTGTCCTCCTCAGCCTCTCCCAGGCTGGCCTGCATCTCCTCCAGCTCCCTGTCCAGGCTGTCCAGCTGCTGCAGCAGGGTGCTCTGCTTGGCCTGCAGGGACTGTGCTGGGGGTGAGCCCNGGGGGGCTTGGAGACTATAGGGGAGTGTGGGGGCTATAAGTGATATGGGAGGGTATGGAGGACTTGGGAGGGTTTGGGGTTTATAGGGGATATGGGGGCATGAGGAGGCTTAGGGTGTATGGGGAGTATGGGGGCATAGAGGGCCTTGAGGGTAGGAGGGACTTGGGGACTGTAGGGGATGTGTGGGGTAGGAGTGCATGGGGAATATGGGGAATGGGCAAAGGGGGGCACAGGGGGCCTTGGGGGCATGGGGAACAGGGATTTGAGGGGGCAAAGGAGAAGGGGGCAAAGGAGAGATGAGTGTAGGGGGCTCTGGGGGTTATGGAGTGTGCAGAAGGGTGGGGGCTCTGTGAGAGTTTGGGGGACACAGTGGGGTGGAGGGGGTGTGGGAGGACATTGGGCTATGGAGGGAGATGGTGATATGGGCCAGGTGTCAGGGAGAGGGGACAGCAATGAAGGCAGTGACAGGGATGGGAGGTGGAAACAGGGATTGAAAGCAGGGCAGGGACAAAGTGAGAGTGGAGGGCGGCAGGGACTGGGGCAGGGTGCCAGGTAGAAGGGACAGGGATAGGAGGTGGGGACAGGGACAGGTTGAGGGCTCTGGTGCAGCAATTGGAAGATGGGGATCAGGAACAGGATGCCCATGGGGCTGTGTGTGTCCCATGGATGTCCCACAGAGCCTTGTGTCCCCCATGGACACATGGTTGTCCCAGAGAGCTCTGCATGTCCTATGGAACCCTATTTAACCCTATTTATCCCCTGAAGCTGTGGATGTCCCATGGGTGTCCTGTGAAGTTATACATGTCCATGGATAACCCATGGAAACATCCCATGAAACCATACATGTCCCTGGGGGCTGTGGATGTCCCACAGAGCCACCTGTGTCCCATCTGTGCATGTCCCAAGGAGCCATTTATGTGCCATGGAGTCATGTGTGTCCCTTGGAACTGGGACCCATAGATGTCCCATGGTGCCATCCACGTTCTGTGACCCATAAATGTCCCCTGGAGCTGCAGATGCTCAGGAAGCCACTCATATCCCACAAACCTACGGATGCTCCACGGAGCATTCACACCCCTCCATGTCCCCTCTGTGGGGCAGCTCTGGCAGGAGCCACCCCAGGCCCCATTTTGGTGTTTTTCTCCCAAACCCACAGTGTCCCCACACTCCAGGCTGCTCCCGAGCCAGCCGTGCTCCCGGCTGTTGTTTATGGCACAGCCAGACCCGCTGCAATCGGGGTTTCACCGTGTGGTTAAACCGGCTCTGGCTGGGAGGAGGGATGTGCCCACCCTGTGATTACACCCCCGCACTTAAACCTGGATGGGGACACGAGGGACATGGGGACACACCCAGACCCATCCCATGGCACCCTGCAGCCACGGGAACCGGGTCCCACAGCCCTGAGTCCCGTTCCCAGCATGGCCCCTGCCAAAAGCAGGTCAGCCTGGGCCCATGCCGCAGCTAATCCAGCCAGCAAATCCCCCGCAGGCACATGGGCTGGGCACACGTGGCCACAGCAGGGCCGGGATGGGGCACCCAGGGGTCAGATGGGGCACCCCAGGGTCAGGATGGGGCACCCAGGGGTCAGAATGGGGCACCCAGGGGTCAGGATGGGGCACCCCATGGTCAGGATGGGGCACTCAGGGGTCAGGATGGGGCACCTGGGGGTCAGGATATGGCACCCAGGGGTCAGGATGTGGCACTGGAGGCTGCTGGACACCCCCCAGGCTGGGGGTGCTGAGGGGTGTCCGGTGCAGGGGGCAGTTGTGTTTTGGTCACTCGGGTGTTGGTGTGTGTCCATGTCACCCAGGGGTGCCCATGTCCCTGCCTGTGCCATGGCTGTGGCTGCCCATGTCCCTGTGTCCCCATGTGTCCCCATGTGTCCCTGTATCCACACATGGGGATGTGGATATCTGTGTCCCCGTGCCTGTTCCTGTCCCTGTCACTCTCCTGGTGACAGTTGGTTTCCTGGTCCCTGAGTCCATCTCTGTCCCTGTCTTGCTGTTGCTGCCTGTTCCCATTCCCAGTTCTTGTCCCTGTCTTTCTCCCGCTCTCAGTCCCTGCCCCTGTTTCTTTCCTGATTCCTGTCCTCCTTCTGGTCCCTCTCCCTATTCCCATCCTGGTCCTGGTCCTGGCCTTTTCCCCGTGCTGATCCAACTTCCTGTTGTTCTTTCAGTGCCTCTCCTTGTTCCTGTTTTCCACCTGGTTCCTGTTTCTGTTCCCACCCTGGTCTCATCCTTGTCCTTGTCCCTGCCCCATCCCTGTCCCAGTGCTGGTTCCCATCCCAGTCTCAGCCCTTTTCTGTGTTTAGATCTCCATCCTGGTCCCAATTCCCTGTCCCTGTCTCTCTCCTGGCCCCTGTCCTCTTCCTGGTCCCCATCCTGGTCTCTGTCTCCATCACCTTTTTTGTCCCTGCTCTGCCAAGTGTCCAGCTTGGGCATGGTCCTTGTCCCCGTCTCAGTCTTGGTCCCTGCTCCCTGTCACTGCACCTCTCCTGCTCTCTGTCCTCATCCTGGTCTGCATCCCCATCCCCATCTCCATCCCCCCAGCCCCTATCCCTGTCCCAGTTCCCGTCCTTATTCCTGTCCCTGTCCTTATCCCGGCCCTTGTCCTGGTCCCATCCCGATCCTGGCCCCTGTCCTTGTCGTGATCACTGTCCTTGTCCCAATCCCTGTCCCTGTCCCGATCCCCATTCTGATCCCTGTCCTGGTTCCCATCCCAATCCCTGTCCCTGTCCCCATCCCAGCCCTTGTCCCGATCAATGTCCCGGTCCCGTCTCCATCCCGATCCTTGTCCTTGTCCCAGTCCCTGTCCTTGTCCTGATTCCTGTCCCTGTCCTTGTCCCCATCCCAGCCCTTATCCTGATCCTGGTCCTGGTCCCGGTCCCCATCCTGATCTCTGTCCTTGTCCTTGTCTCAATCCCTGTCCTGTCCCA